CAGCATTTTGATAAATGATGCAAAACTATAGAGAAATCTGTTTAAAATAGTTTAACACACTTTCTATAAAGTAAACATGTATCTGAAAAATGGTATGCATCTAATTTCTGACTCTATGCAGTTATCTGCAGGCCATTCTTTAGATACAGCAGTACACATAGGGGTACTGGCTCTACACACCTTATTCCCTCAGTTTCACCAAGCAAACATTTTTTTACCATCTTTCTCTGTCTTCTGTCCATGGATCACAATATATATCAGGAATTGAATATTTCAGGCACTTTCCCTAAAACATAATCTTTGTGTAATCAAGCAGGTGAGAGTTCTGCAGGTTGGCCAGGAAATCAGAACCAGTCACAGTGAAATAAAAGATAATATATGGGAGAACTATTTTGTCGGCCATTCAGAAGAAATGAAGAATCAGAATGCATTTCTAAAATGAAGAATACAACAGTGAGGTTACATCTGTCAAAAGAAAAAGTTGGTTCCTCATGCTCTGAGGATGCCATCCAAGCACTGAGGTATCAGGTGGAACAGTGATAGTGCTTCATATCATCCTTTCTTCTACCTTATTTTGGAAGATCAGACCGTAGCCTGGTCTCACGTGAATTTAGGCCTCTGCCTTTCATATAACAGTGAACTCAATTAGCTGTTGCTGATCAGGAAAGATATCTCATGAGTCATTTTGGGTGATCCTCTGAACACCTGCATGCAGGGCTCATGAGTGTTCAAACTGGCAATGTGAAACTGAGAAGTTATACAATAGCAGCTATAAAATTACAGCCAGCAGGAAGAAGAGACTAATAATGCTCATTATTCCTTATTGAGTAGTCATATTCGTATCATTTTGTCCAAATGTCATACTGAATAGTCATTATTCACTCTCTCTTTTTTCATGATATAAAAAATAGTTATACCCAAATTAAACCTATATCAGATGTGTCTGGGACACAGATCTTTGCTGGCACAGGACACCTAGTATTTAAGTTAGGAAATTATTTCAGCCTGCATTTCAGGATGACCTCTTTGCAAACTGCCCATGGGGCATGACCCTGGCCTGAAATGTTTCAGCCCAAACCCTGCCTGGGGTCACTTAGAAGCAGGCTGGTCAGCATGGGCCAGCCCGCCGGTCTGTGAAGCCAGGCCCTACACTGCCAAACAGTTTAACAGTATGGATAAACTCCTTCTGGAACCTAGGAATGATCCTGGGCTGTTGTTTAAATTACTATGAGAGAGCTTGGGAAATCACCTGGTCTTACACTGGCAGAAGGCGTAAAGGAGAACCTTCCCTCAGCTCCCTCTCTCATCCACACGTGTCTGGTGCCAGAAACAGGCTCCTGCACTGGTCTGCACAACATTTTTTTAAAGCTGGGCTGCAAATCTAAGGCATGCCATGTTAATGAGCATGTACTATGATTAGAATATAATGCTGCAAATAGGCAAGAAATATGATTATTTTTATTAAATAATTACAATAAATATACAGACATTATGTAATAATAATGCTACTTACTGTAAAGTACTACTAATGAACATTCACATCTGCTGGGGAAAAAGACATTTTACTTATTTTTGCTAATGCTCTGCTAATAAGATTTGCTGCTTTATATCCTTAGACCACCATGGCTACACTAACATTACTACTGCTAAAAATATTTACAGTCAGATTTGCTCATTTAATTCTTGGGCTGTAAAAACCTAAAATACCTCTAAAAATATTAGGCTAATTAGGCAAGCTATAACATTCTGCTTGTGAACTTCTTTTTTCTACATCCAGAAGAAATAATTTATTAAGAGATTAATTCATTAAGTAAATTCTATCAAAGCTAAAGAACTCATGACTAAAGCCATAAACCACGGCTTTAGATTTAATTGAATGTATTTCTCTTTCTGATTGAGTATTTGTAACTTTTAAAATGTTGTGGCTCAAAATATTGTCAGTTAATATATTTCAAACTTTTTAGACTGTTGTATAGGAGCATGGCAGACTATTCGAGACCTGTCTTGTAGTAATAGAATTGTACTACAATAATCCGTTTGCCTTTCTGTTATGTATTCTATATTAAATTCTGCCATTTTTCCTTCTGAGCTAAGCAATGCTGCTATGTAATGCAAAACAGTGAGTGCAATTCTCTGCTGAGTTTGCCTGTATGCCATGATATTTAAAATTTTGATGAAAAGCCTTTGTTTTGGGATATTGAAGACTGGTTTAAATTTTACTGCTGACTATAAGGACATTCTGCTAAGTTAATATAAAATTAAATATTAAATCTTTATGACAGCTTAGTGTAGTTTTCAACAGAAATATAAAAATATTAAGGCACTTCTACTATGTTTGGTTACATATTCTGTAGATACAAGTGATTTCATATTTAGCTGTAACACACTGATGAAACTCAACAACAATTTTGATTTACAACTCATGAGGATTTGGCCTTCAATCTTTATTATGCAGAGCATGGCAGAAACAAACAATTCACATGGAAAGCGTACTTTGTCACACAGGTTTTAACAGTGGAAATGAGAAATACAGTGTGGTTTCAGAAAAAGAAAACTGTTCTATACAGCTGTATTTTAGAATACATGGAGATTCATCAAGCACTGTTTTCCCCCGGGTAACTGCTGATGTTTTATTTACAAAGCAAATAACAAACAATGGCTAGAAAATAGCATTGCACCACAAATTATCTACATGGATATTTCTATTTTTCATACTAGAAAATAGTAAAGATGGGCTTCAGATCAATGTTTCTTTCATTTTTTTTAATGTGTTTTAGTAGCTAATACAAAATAGAGATGCAGACTGTATTACATTAGTAAGAAAAGCAAACACATTATGGACTTGGTTAAGAAAAATATTTCCTAGCAAAATGTAACTTTTTTTTCAAAGTTCTAATGTGTTGTCTGCTCCAAGCACTTCACATAGGGACCATTGATGACTTACATTTCATACAGTCCCTTATATATTGAAGGATCCTGAAGTGCTTTCAAAAAAAAAAAAATGTTACACAACCTTTAAATGTTGCTGATTGCACAGTTGGAACATGAGAAACTAAGTCAAAAAGAATTCATTAATATTCTACTGTAGCTCCGAGAGCTTATACCTATATTTGTATTCACACTGGAATTTACAGTAATAGAATCAATTTTGTTTTAGAGTTCATTCTCCAGTCTGTAACAACATGGCCTGGAGCAGAACTTTGTATCCTTTACTTACTCTTACCTCCTTTAAAAGTGGCAGCTGACTGTTTTGACCCTAAAGGTCTTGTTCCTATGCAAGGACTTGAAGAGTACGGTGCAGCTGGGAGGTTTTTGGTTTTTAATGAGCATTGAAAGAAATATTCTCCTCTGGAATTGTGGCAAGAACAATTCTTGTAAGCATCCACCACAAAGGTATTGTTCCAGCTGGTCTTGTGAAACTTTCCCATACAAGTAATGTACACAGAAAACACCTCTATAAAGAAATTTTAAAGTGTAAATCTAGTCCTTGACAATTTCATCACTAAAAACTCACATTTCTCTTTCAAGCTGTAATTGTCTATCCTTTTGAGTTTGTTTCCAACCTGTTTTACACTACTGTAAATGCTCAGATTGTGTCAAATAACTATGAGTAGACCAGCTTTCTGTTGGACTAATGCATTCCTGGAAAACACGGATGTATTGAACACTGGTGCTTAGAAAGCCCCTGAATCTTTTGGCTCTGCTTGCTACTAAATTTCATACTTGTGTTATGTGCAGTGCAGAAGTGCTGCAAAACTAGTTTTTGATAGGCTGGAAAAGCAGGCATTTTTCTCTGTTTTTGAGGGAAAGTTAATGCTACCCCTTCCCACAGCATCTGCACAGACGTGCTGTGCCACAGGTTTGCAATTACTTTGAGCTATGCGGCAGGAGGCCCTGTCACGGCAGTGGAGTAGTTTCAGCTTCTTGAAGTTCCAACTGAAAGGAAAAAAATTGCAAATACGATAAACAGTTACTTGATTTCTTCCCTCCCACAAGGTTCTTTTTATGTGTGCACATGTGTGTATATTTGTGTGAGTCTTTGGAGGGATTTGGTTCTCGTTTGCAGCTACTGTGCTGCTTTAGGAAACCAAACAGCCAGCCCAAGCGCTCGGGCAAGACAATTCTTCTGTTATAAAACAGCAACAGCGTAAGAAATTGTTATAGGAAAATGTTTGTGCCTGATTTTTAAAGGCAAAGGCACATTAGAGAATCTGCAATGCTGACTTATTTGAATGAGATATTTTTTTTCCTTCTACAAGGGAACCCACTATTGGTTTCACTAACAATGATTTTGCTCTCCATAGCAATTACCGCAAAGTTAACATTTTAGATGTACATTAATGGCTATTCTGTGTTCAAATCAGTAAATTGGCTAATGTTCTATTCCAAATGTGGATGTGCATTTAAAATCTCATTTAAGTTTGGAGACGGAATTAAATCAGACCTGGAACAAATCCTCCTCTTGTGTGCCCATGGTACCCGTGCTAAGTCATCTTCTTACCCTGGTGCAATAGCACTACAAATATTTTCATCTGCATATGAGATACCTCAGGCTGAAAGTCCCCAACCTTTTTGCTGTCTAACAAATGCTGCCCTGCAGTGCTAGTACTTGGAGAAGGGATTAGGGACTCTGCAGGTAAAGCCGTTGTGGCATAGGGAGCAGAGCCAAAAACGAACCTTTACTGACACAAGAGGGAAAGGTGCTGGATAGCAGTAATGACACATGGGTGAGGGTTTATTATGCATTGGAGATGTTCCTCCTTAGTTCTTTTTGGCCAGAAACCGAGCCATTCCTAAATCTGGATAGTCCTTTCTTTTGGAGAAGTCTCAATTCAGAAATGAATTCCAAAGTTCATATTCACTTACCTTTATAAAGTGAAAACATTTCTATTTGCTCTTTTTTTGTTGATGTTTTGTTTTCTTTTAAAGCCATTAAACTTTCTAATCTATTAAGGAAAAAATGATGTTCTGTTCCCTATTTATTCATGATTTGAGAATGCCAGAAATGCATGCAGCCTTTGAAGATTACTTGGTTTTAGTCCTCATAGCATAGCTTATTCTTGTTTTCTTTATGAAAGTCTGACAAACATAGTCTCTTTTTGCTGATACCCAAAACTTTCACAAAGAGCCATGCCAGTGCAAATCGGCTGTATAAGAAAGCCTTGTTTCAAGGATATCCTGACTTTAACAACAGACAACAATTTATCATTATTATTCAAATATAGTCTTACTTACAAAGGAGATATGCTCATTTTCTAGTAGTGCATAGAAAAGCTGTTCTCTAATAATGTAGGAAGGTGCAAATCTGCCAAGGCTGGGGGTTACTGAATCTGCCCTACTTCTGCCATGTTTTTACATAGGACCCTGCAACATTGTTTGTGATCTGCCGGATAGCACTGGGAAAATTAAAATGTAAGAAAATGCTTTCTTCAGTTAATTCATCATAGAGAAAATGACTTTCAAATTTTGCTTGTTTCATCTCAAAAATAATTTCTCCTATAATCCACTGTCCTTTTAATTTCTACATCTTGGATGCCAAGGCAAGTAATGAGAGACAAAGCTTTCAGGACTGAACACAAATACCAGAACTTACAGTTACTGCAGAAAACTTACAGTAACTCAGATTTTACTTTCAGAATGTGAGGAGGACTTGCAGCTTTAGAAACTTCATTTAGAAGTTTTAGAAGGCACTTAGAAAGCATTAATAAACTTCAGTGGTTAAGCAGAAAGCATCAGAAACTGAAAATACAAGAAAATGTCTACAGAAAATGCCTGTAAGTATGCCTGCACATAATTTGTTTAGTTGCTGGGATGCTTTCAGGAGAGGATTGTGTGAAAACTAAAACCGCCCATAAAAAAACTAATTCATTTATATGAATTCAATTTCTTAGGTTTCAATTATTATTAATAACCCTTTTTTTTTTCTGATTGAGATCTGTTATTAATGGCAACAAAAATAAAAGGTATTTGGAAAAGATATTTTCAAGGAAAAAACACTTAATGTATCTTAAATTCAAAAAAAAAATCAAACTTTTTAAATATAGGAGATAAATTAAAAAGTAGTTTTCAAAATTCAATTTCAAAATATTTTTCATCGGCCTTTGCTATGAATCAGGTTAGTGTCAATGACATCAAAACAACCTGCTCATCTTTGAAAGCAGCTATCTGGTCCTTCATTAGAATTTCCTACCAATATTGGGACATGCTGAGAAAAGTTCAGAGCAAACAGCTGTATTTTACAAGCAGATTTTTTCAAGTTTCTGACATTTCCATTCTGTTTTTTCTTCTTCATTCAAACACATTTATAAGATTGCATATGCTTCTCTGAAAATTGAAGTGAGGCAAGCCTTTAAGTCAAACAGTTTACATAAAGCTGACTGTAGAAAAAATGCAATACAGGCATTTTGCCACAGCAAGATAGTTGCTCGTGCTATCTTTATAAATGCCCACACCATTAGTGTTTTGAATCTGATGTTACTTCATCTGTCTCAAGGGAACTGGAGAAGGTCAGAACTTGTTTTGCTCTTCCAGTTTTCATAAATGCTGAAAAATCAACAATCAAACTCTTAATTCAGATGAAGCTTAACCTTGCATTGAGTTCTTTACAGTGAAGTCCCTAGATCATAAAATAGGGTCCAAAGTCATTATCTTAATGCGGAATGGTATGAATATGATGTTTCCTCTTACTGCTTTTGTACTGATAGAAAACACAGTTGTTGCTTCCATCAGTGACTGCTTATTTAAAGAAGTGCTTCAAGAGCCCAAGGCCTAAAGCTGCTGAGCTCCTGAGTGCTTGAAGTCCTCATTAACTGCAGCAGAAGAATTGTCCCTTGGCAAAAAGGCAACTAGCTGAACATCTGTTTGATCATCTGTGCTGAGCAGCCCTACACCCTTGCAAATAGAATTCACACCAAATTGTCTCCAAGGCCTTGTCTATACAAGAAAGCACTTGCCAGTATTCTTAGATCGATACAGAAATACTAGCTTGGCTTTCTTGTGCAGAAACCACTTACCTGTGAAAAGTCTGCTCAGTCAATAGTATTTACTGTGCCTGTTTGAGAAAACAGAAAAAGCTTTCTTTCTTTTCTTTTCTTTTTTTTTTTTTTTTTTCCTCTGGGGCAAAAGGTACAATCACACTATTTTTGCTGCTTAAAAAAAATAAAAATAGATGTTATATTTGTAAGTACTTCCCCTGAAACCCTTTTTAGTGTAAATTAGTCCTACAGCCTTTGTGGTCACTCTGATGCTAAGAAAAAAAAAGTTTCTTTCAGAAAAGTTTGCTGAAGTAAAATGTTAAATAAAGTTTTTAATATTTGGGTTTGAATAAGAAACACGTGAATATTCTAATGTATTCCTTTGTAGACGAGGAAGCCTGCCTGGGCCAGCTGCTGTGCTAGTACAGGGAGCAAATGGGCAGTCAGCATGCACACAGCAGAGCTGGCATGAAGAAACCAGTGGCAGCAGCAGCCAAAGCAAGAACTGCTGCCATGGTGGTGAGGGAAATGAAATTGGGCCACTTTCAATTCTCTCAAATGCCAAACCACACAAAAAAACTCATCCATCCAGCTATGGGGATATAAGTTTCCAAGTGCTGTCTTCTCCTCCATGGCCTTGGGGAAAACAACTAACTGGTTTTTAGGAAGAGCTACACAAGTTGTCAAAGCTGGGCAATTTCTTACAGTTCTGATTATACTTTTTTTTTTTCCTCCATGCACATTGCCTCTTCAGTTTTCTGTCTTATTGTCTCCTGTGGCCTCATTCCTAGGTTTCCTTTTTCTCCTCTTGCATGCCTCCTTTCCAACCAGTACCTTGCCCTTCAATTCTCTTCAAACTTGTTTTCTCCTCTTTACTTATTCCAGACCTGTTCCCTGAAGAATCCACCCCCATTCCCCACTCCAAGCTGTGTGCCTAGCTTGCTCCTTGCTGCCTCACCTCACTTGGTTGGTCTATCCCTGCCTTGGCTGCCTGTCTCCTTGCTGGCTTGTGTTGAAAGGTTGCTGAGGGCAGGAGCATCATCTAGGCTGTGCACAGGAAAACAGGACCTTATCTCAGGCAGTCTCCTGGCAGCACCACCTTCAACCTTTCTGAGAACAGATTTTGGAAGGCTGCTCCTTACTAGAAAGACCATAGAAAAGCACAACAAAATGTAAAAAAATGTGTGCATACACAGTACGCTCTAACCTGCATCTGCACGAAATACAGCTATAGATATAAATCTAAGACGCATGCACAAAATTGACTCCACTGAGGGTTACAAATGCATTCTAGAGGGCTGAATCTGTTTACTAAACATTTACTACACATGGCAAATACTGCATGTATATACATATATGTTTGTATGACTATGTCAAGATTGGCAGTTCTGCTCCACCAACAAAATGTGTGTAAGACTGAGCAGGTTCTAAACCATTACACAGGCCAGTTTGCCATGTATAAATCAGATGCTGGTGAAAGACAAAACCAAATGCAGATGTTTAATAAACTTCCCCATTTTGTTTTTAGATTGATCCCTTCTCTTTTCTGCTGCGATCACAATTTTGTCTGTTTGGTTATGGTAACATCCTGATTTTGGCTTCCTGGCACCAGCCCTTGGCCTCAGTGAGTGATATGTATATTATTTTTCATGAGGATCCATTCAATTTTGCACCTTGAGAAGGCAGCAAGCTTGTGGCAGAAGTGGCATCAGTGAGAAAATCATCCAAGAGTTAAACTTAAGCATACTGCTAATGCTCAAAAGAAAGTTTTTAAAGGTGATGTGGCAAGGAATGGACCAAGGCTGTACCTTCTTTTTGATAAATTGTGGAGAAGACTCAGAAGCTTTTTATGGTGATTATATTATGTATGAGTTACTAAGTTCAGGAATTTCACCTTTGTGTTCTGCTTTGTGTCAGATATTTGCTGAGGGATGTAGTTTAGAAACTCTCAGAACTAATCACAGAAACTAGAATGTTGAATGCATTAACAGATTCCCCAAAAGCTAAGCAAAAAATAATCTGGATAAAAAAAAATCCCTTTGTATCTGCTGCGGCACAAAACTCCTACTTCTCAAAGGAATGGCACAATACTCCTTCTTTTCTTTGTGTGTGTGTGTGTGTGTATGTGTGTGTGTGCGTGTGTATTTAGATATGCATATGTATGTAGAAAGATGTTCAAACTAGGGGAAAGTATTCCTATCTGGAAAGCGAAATGAAAGGTGTCACATGAATGCATATCTATAATGCTCTAATAGTTGTGCTGGTTTAGTTACATATGCAAATGGTGCAATTTTTTTTTTTTCACATGTTAAAAGGTTGAAAAAAAAAGGGCCAAAATGAACCCTAGCCAACACTGGTTAAGTGTCTGGTACAAGAACTGGACATAGACAGGCCTTTTTGAACATCTTCCAGGAGAACAGGCCTTCTAGGCCTTTTCTGTAAATCATAATGAATCAAAAAGTATATAAGCACAGTTTCTTCTCTTTTTAATCAAGAGAATTCATCTTGTGTCCCTCCACTGTGTCCCTCAGCAGATAAGGAATATGAATAGAGAAATATGCGATCATTCTCCGAACAGTTCTAAAAGAGTCACCTGTTGCAAACGTACTGTAACAAAACATTGCCTCTCATTTGTGCACTGCATATGCAAACACGCTGGACTCAATCATGCAATGCACCTTTGAAAACCCTCAGCCTCTGTGTATCTACCAGAGCTGAGATCAACCAGCACCATGCAGGACTGGGGTCTCTGTGTATGTGTGTGCTGTGGATGCCAGCTACAGATGCCAGCTGAAGGCGTTTATGCCTTCAAACAGTTACAAATCAGTATAAACCGTAACTTCAGAAGGCATGTCATCCCCAAGCGGGAGGCCCGGATCCAGAGATGACATCTCCACTGCTAGTCATACCTGATGGTTAGTCCTATCCACAGTGTTGGCAGTGGAAGCATGGTCACGAGTGTTTTGTCGGACACGAGTGGAGTTTTGTTGCTCAATGGTGGAGGAAGTGGGGATGCAGAACTCTCTGAAACATCTTTTGAAATTCTCATCTAGAAATGCATATAGGACTGGATTAAGGCAGCTATTTGTATACCCTAGAGCAATACAGAAGTGCCAGGAGACAGTCTGGAAAGTAGTTTCTGGAATGTTGACCAGGGCTTTAATGATGACATAAATGTGGATGGGAGTCCAGCACACGATAAACACCGCCACCACCACCAGAACCATTCTTGTGATCCTCCGCAGGTTCCTGTCCTTCTCTTTGGAGCCAGATAACATGCGAACACTCTTCAGGCGTAAAATCATCAACCCATAGCACACGGTTATGATCAGGACTGGCATGATAAAGGCGAAGATGAACACACAGATTTTCAGGAGGTTCTCCCAGTACCAAGCAGGGTGGGAGAATGTAAGTGTGCAGTCAATAGAGCCTAGGGAAAAAAAAGAAAGCAACAGAGAAGACAGGCAGGTCAGTTTTCCATTTGCTTTTCTTTAGTCTTTTTTGATCAATGTTATAGGCAAAGGAACACAAATTTACTATGTACACAGCTAACATAAAGCAATTGATGATCTGTATTTTGCACAAACACTGATAGAATACAATGTGGCCAAATGTGGCTTTAGTTAGAAGACCAAATATGAAGTAACTTTGTTTTGCATTTAATTGCTTTGAATTTGCTTTATATTTGATAAAATAAATTGTCTTCAGTGCTCAAAAAAAAAAAGATGACATGACACTTGGGTAACTGCGCACGGTCTAGGGATTTTTCACTTAGGTTTACACTGTTACTTCATGGAAGGTCTTTTGGAACCAGCGATCCAAAATGTTCTATCACTTCTGTTTTATGTCATGCCAGACTAGGTACAAAACTGCCATGATCAACAACAACTGTGGAAATATCTTGGGTAATGCACAAGTTTCTGTGAGTACTTTGGCAGAGAAGTGGATAATCCTGCATAGCCAAAGGGCAGGTGCTGATGTTGCCTTTCCCAAACACTACACAGGAGGGAGAAGTGGGATCGTATCCCGTACAAGAGAAAGTGAGGAGCTTCCTCATATGAAAAAGATCTTGTTTAGTGCTGTGTTTAATCAACTAGAGCCATGTGATCTAAGTGAAAACGACTTTGATTCAAGGGATAAGCCATGTGAATTTGAGGAGGTGCTCCTTAGAGAACTAAGCCCACAAGCTTCCAGAGAGAGATGAAAAGGCAAAAATCACACTGTGCCTAGGCAAAAAGAATAATTTGATGATTGTTCTAGAACATCAAAGGCATCTTGTATAGAAAGATGCCTATAACATTACTGAGCTTGTGAGGACTTGCAGTAAAATCGTTAAAAGAGTCTATTTTTATTGAAAGGTTGGAAGTCAGAAGTTAGCTCAAAGCTTTTGTAATACAGAGGATCAATGCAGAAAGAAGTTTAAAAATGGAAATATTTAATTCATAGATGAAAACTAGACTTACCGTGCCTGTATTTGGTAGTTGCCATGAACATAACTGGTAGGCCAATAGCAGAAGAAAGTATCCAATTGCAGACATTGACAATTTTGGCATTTCTGGGAGTACGGAAATCAAGGGCCTTGACTGGGTGGCAAACAGCTACGTAGCGATCCACGCTCATCGTGCAGAGTGTAAAGATACTGGTGAACATATTATAGTAGTCAATGGATATAACAATCTTACACAGGATTGTACCAAATGGCCATGTTCCCATCAAATAATTCACACTCTGGAATGGCAGAGTACTTGTTGCTAGAGCATCCGCCAATGCGAGATTGAAAATATAGATATTGGTGGCAGTCTTCATTTTCGTGTACCTAGAAAAATCAGTAAAGCATGTAAATGACCAACCAACCAAATTAAAAAAAAAAGAACAATGCAGTGTCTATTTAAAAAAAAAACTTTGAAAAATAACATGCTGGATGTTATCGCAGATCATCTTTTTTTGCTATTCATCTTTTAACCACACAAATAATCTTGATACGGTTTACTTGCAATAATGTTTACAATTCTGTGAGATGAGGTAAGGGAAGGAAAATAAAGAAGGAAATAAAGTATTCATTTAACTTGTGCAGAAAGATGTTTGTAAAAAAAGCAATATTATACCATAGGACTGAGAAAAAAGCTGAACCAACTTGTATTTGCAAATGCCTGACACTATATTAACAGGAAAGATTTTCTGTATCTGGTGATGTCATGTCAATTATCAGAATTGTGCTTTGTGGAAGTGGAGAACTCATTAACAGGTTGTGGAGTAATAATGAGGTAGTTCCTAAGAGAGTAAGAACTTGAAAGATTAGGGTAATTATCACATCCAATATGGCTAAAAAATCAAGCTTTTAAGAAGTTTTTTTCATTTGGTTATAATTATAAAAAGTTCAAAATTATCTTTTTGAAATAATCTGTGAAGATTTTCACATGGCTTTATTGATCTGTGTCTTTTACAAGTCGGACAAGTCTGTTCACTTGAAGGCAGATATTCTTTCAATTGAAGGCAGATGCTGTAAATCAACACCTAATATTGATTCAATATCCAATATTGATTCAATATCTAATATTGAATGTCTGTGAATATTGAATGCAACAACAGAACCACCACCTTCGGTTGGATGCTGCAACCATTTGAGGCAGTAATGCATGCTCCACACTGTCTAATATGGTAGAAGTGTCTTCACACTCCTTTATACCCACTCCTTGCTAAGTCTGTGACACTAACTACCCAAAAAACAATTTCTAAATTTCAGTTATGTCACACCTCATTTACAGCTGAGCAAGGAGAGCTTTATGTTTTAATTTGTGTTTGCACTGCCAAAGGTAGAATACCAATTTCTCCTCAGTTTCATTAACTTTTTCAAACTGCCCTTTACAGATTGAAGTCCTTGTGCCATCTGTACAGCACTTGAGATCCCCCGTTTACGAGGAGGCTGTACTTTTGCAATAGTACAAGTGTTTCACTCTGAAGTGATGGTCCTGGCTATTCTGCCCTGCCATCCCGACTGCTGCCCAGGTCGCTAGACACTGTGGTGCTCTGGCTTTCAGGGGGTCAGATGACTTGCTCTTTTGAAGAAACTCCCTTGTGTTTCTTCAAAGTAGCAAGCACAGTGTCCGACCAAATGCCTTCCAATTTATAGACTGATTTGCAAAAGAAACAATTCATTTAAGAAGGTCTTCCAGGTAAGCTGCAGGGAAATATATAAAAGTGTAAAATAAAATATTTCCTGTGCCTTCTATATTTAAATGTTTGCTAAATTCTTGCTAAGTTCTTCAGAACATGAGTCAGCTGCAAGAAACTGATGACAGGGCTATGTAGGACACACACTTGGGACCACTCAGGTAGAGCCTGGAGAAATACAGACTTATTGCTGAATGTACCTAGTAAGTTTTATTATGAACATTTGAAGACGTACTGTCTTTATTCTCTCATTTCACAGCACTGTGCATGAGGAGCCATGAGTAACCCTATTTTTTTTTTGTTTTAGTAATTTCTAAGTAGATCCAAGCTCTTGCTTTACTGCTGTCTATAGAAAATATGATATTTTGAAGTTTAAAGCAAAACTGAAATTATAGTATTTTAGAAACTTTCCTTGGGGGAGTACCCCATTTACCCAGCAAATTGCAATGCTATCTTAGGCAGCGGCAGATTCCGCAGGAATTCATGTTTCCCTCCACAGGGAATTATTTAAAAAACAATTAGCTGAAGTTGTGTCAAGAGAGTAAACTGGAGGTGTGGCTGCCTAGAGAGCAGCCATATCCAGCTTGCTCCAAACCCTATATAATCAGCTCAGGTAGCAACAGCAGCAGGGGCCATGCCACAGAAGTCTGCGTTGGTGAGAAAAGCCGGTGCAGATCCTGGATCCTCACCCAGGCTGCTCATCTGTGCTGCACTCGAGGCAAATACTGAGCTCTGATGGCTGGACTGGACGAGGAGCTTGGATATGCTGCTGCCATGCTGCCTCATTCTAGCTCAGTACTCTTTCCTAAGAGCACATCATTAGGAGATAATTATTTTTTAAACAGTAATTAAAGCCATCAGATGTTTTAAAGGGAATGTTTGATACAGGGGAAGAAACAAACAAACAAAAAATAAAAACAAAAAATCAGCTAATAGCAATCTGACTCTGAGTAACTCCGAGTTTCGCATGTCAGAGAAAAAGGAGAGGAAAGCTCTGAATAAGCGCAAATGGAACAAAATCTCTTCACTGAGGCTGCCATGGTCCTCATTCCACTTTGCAGTTTTGCTGTATTGCTTTTGTTCTTGGGCTTTCAATTATTCCATTTAATGCACAAATATTAATGCAAGATTTTGCTTGATGTACTCTTTAATCTTTATATTTCTAATGACCTTGTCCTTACAAAGTGGAGAAGCCAATCTTTTGTGGCGGTAGAAATTATTTTACCTCCATAATTGTCCGATTAACAAAGACCTATTGAAACTGACAAAATTCTTTTCAGTGACGTCTTTGGGTTTGGCTTTTTCTTTGTCCTGAATACCTCAAAAATTATAAAGGACTTATTTCTAAAAGAGCCACTTTGTTAAATTTGTCAAAATTTGTATTTGTCAAAATAAGTAGACTACCAGGGTTTCCACAGTCAGATCTTTGTATGAACAAATAAATTCTTGAGACAATTGATTAAAATAATTTTAGCAGCATGAAAAAATAACAAACCCTCAAAACAGAGCTCTTCAAAGCCTTTACCTTAGCTGTTACTGTGTCTTCCATTAAAGTTGTGTATGTGAAAAGGTACACAAACATTTCTGTCATCTAGACAGAGATGTGTATGTGATGAGATTGCTTTATCTCAGAAGGATTAGTTCTTATAGGAAAGTCTACGTGCCTTGTAATACCAAAAATATTATGCTGATAAATGTAGTCTCTTAAAATATATTTGTTCTCACATTTTCATTTGAGGCCACTAAAGAAGCTATTTGGATGAGAATAAGTAAAGAAAATGCCTTAAATGAAAACCTCAAAAAAAAAAAAAAAGCCTGGTAAAGGGATTACATTGGAATTTAAGCATCTGAAATGCCAAGTATATTGAATTTCATATGACTGAATGAGGTTGCAGGTGAGTACAGAAATTGGCTTTGAGCAACAACATTCTTTCTATTTTCACAGCTCTGAAATGAAAAACTAATACAGCAACATGGTGATTTTTTTGATGACTATTTGGCTGGATATCACTATTAATAGATATTTAAATAAATTATGCTCATTATAGTACTGATATCCACTAGTATATTGCTTCTATCTCCTCAGTTCGTGCTTACATCATAAAATATCTATTTTTATGAAGCATCCTTTGTGGTTTGTAGGACATGAGGGATCAGATTTACAACAGTAAGGAAACTCTCTACATGTATCTAAAGTTCTGTAAGGCAAATCTAGCCCTGCCCTTATCTTTAAGCCAACAAATCAGTGTAGAAGCTACTCCTGTCTCAATGGCAACAGTGGGAAGATAAGCAGAAAAAGCCCTTTGCACTTCGGAAATGGACTGCTCTATGACAGATTGGTAATAACTACTTTCAGCAGCGCACACATCAGCTTTTATCCATAAAATGCTAATCTGGAGACAAAGACTGCTTCAACTAATCTCTGTTTAGTTTTAATGAAAAATACATTAAAAATGGCTTAAGTACAGGACTTTCTTTGCAAGAAGCAGCCACTCATGAAGTTGGTTGCTCAAAGAAGCAAAAACTGGAAAATGCACATAAGTTATACAGGTAATTCCACATAACTCTAGTTGATGCTGTAGGAGATTAGGTTAATGCTTCAAATTCATTCTTCTTGAGTACATGACTTGTTAAATAAATGAAGAATGATTATGTGCATGCATTATATTTGTTGAGGTCTCCTTGGGTGGTATGATTAGAACATGTGAAGTATGCCCACTTAAAATGTTTAGATCAGCACTTATTTCCATGGCTGTTCTGGTACATCTTCAGGGTTCTGTTCTAGTACATCTTGGGTTATATATGCAACCCAAATATCAGCAAGAAAAAAGGTTTTAAGCAAAGGTCCCTCTTTTTCCTTCTTACTGCAATTCATTTCCAGGAACTGAAACTAGCCATAATGCAGATGTTTTCTTTATAATTATTTCAAAACATGGTCTCCTGAGAAATTTAGAAATGTTAATAAAATCATTCCAGCAGCCCTAAAAGGGAATTAAGAAACTATCAGATCTTAAAGTCACTGAGTTGGAACTGCCATATATCCACAAACAGTTTTCCAACTGACCATGAGAAATCTTGCATGGCAATTCCCTGAAGTATGCCATACCACACTTAATACTGAAGATATCGCTGGACCATGACTTGGTCAAGTACTTGGTGCTTTCCTGAGATATCAGGTACTTCACTTTTCATTGAGCCTTTAAAGCTTTGGACAAAGGTTGCTTAACATTTAGGCTGATCTGGACATTCCCTTAAATTTTTTCTCTGTCTACCCATTTAATTAACATGCCTGACACCGGCATTTCTCAGACAGACCGCATCCTGGGAAGTACCTGAACTGATACACTTCCCTTATGGTCATCCCATCTAAATAATCTTTTTTATTCTTTGCATGATAGTGGGTCTCTGCATATTGAAAGCACATGACTTGAACTGTTTGGAGATTTACTCTTTGATTATGCTATTCAGGGATATTCCAGAAAGTTTATGCTTGAAGCCATTAAACTTAAGCCTTGGGAACAAGCACTCCGAATTTGTGTACAAATCTTACACATTATTATGTAGTCAGGGTACTAAGTCTGAATGCAAAATACAGTGGTTAAAAATCTACTCCTCCTTTTATGTAGTTCTTCTGAAGAGA